CACTTAGTTTACTCAATGATAGAAAAGGGTCTTCCTTAAGGACACAATGTTGGAAACTACTGGTATAGGTCATACAGGCATCAGTATTAAATTAAATTTCATGGAGTTAAAAAAAAAGTCCTGTATTTTAAAAAAAAAGCTCAATTTTTCATTATCAACTAAATGTGTTTAAAGTATAAAAAGTAAAAGCACTTATTATTCAGAATGGTCTTTTGCAAAGTCTGAATACTGATTTAAATGACTGTGTATAGCAGTAATATTATATAGCTTCATTCGTACATATAGTTTGACTGAGAAACTTCTCACAATTCCTGTCAGACCGGAAACCCGGTGCAGCATTATTTATCAGCTGTGCTCTCCACTCTAGTGTCCGACGCATGGTCAGGAAAACAGGGCGTTAGGATTGGCTGGGGGACTACGGAAGCCCCTCCCACTGAGCTCCATGTAAACAAACACACACTGGGCATGCGTCACTGGAATAATGGAGGACTGTTTTTTCTACCCGGACTGATGATGTCTGTATTTCTACTCTACTAGCTGTGATCTGAGAAAATAACAACTCGTCGACATTTCAGCGTGTGTGAGTAGATGTTTGACACTTTAGAATGAGTTTGTTTGCAGAAAAGTAGCAGTAACTCTAGGTTTGTGCACGAGAAACTCACGGTCAGCAACAAGCCATGTTTGCTAGTTGGTTAGCTGAGAGCGGAGGCAGCTGTCAGATCTCAGTCCGCTACTCACAGCGTTAGCAACCGCTCCTGCTTTCAGTGAATTATTACCGGGGCAACTCGCATTGTCTGTACATGTTGGTTACTTGCTGTTTACCCCTGAATATGAAAGAGGTTTGGTTTTTGTTGACTACACTTTTAATTCCTGAGACGCAAAGCAAGCTATCTTGCAGCTAGCATGCTAGCTAACGGACTAGCTAAATATTTTTGCGAGGAGCAGCGCTGTCAGTGGGCCACAGTGTGTGACTGACGTGGTAATCAGCCAATCCGAGACTGAGGATCAGAGCTAATCAGTATTGTATCCAATCACTGTTAAAGGGCGCCTCCCCGAATCTTTTCCGAATAACGTTTAAGTCCGTAATGGAGTTTTCACGGTGTGTTGCCCGTTAGCTAAAAGTGCATCTTCTCGGCTGGTTAACTGGAATCGAAAAGTTCTCTGTAATGCACATCCCGTAAGTTAAGTAGTGAACGTTAGTCACATTGGAGGGCTATGAGATAAGTCTTTAGTAGCATAGCTAGAATCCCAGAGGGAACTTTGGTAATTGGATATCCGTATTTCTTTGGATAAAGTTGTTCTGTTTTCACAAATACAACAAAGCTTTCACGAACCAGTGGCGGATCTAGAGACGTATTGTGACAGGGGGCAGCTCTAGCACATGAGCGTCGTTATTTTTCAAATAATAAATGAATGTGTTAAATTTGAAAGCGTGTGACACCAAACTGGGGGGGCATTTGATCCATCCCTGGTTTAAAAAATGGATTTCAGGTATAGTGGCTTCTGTTCTTCTTACGTGGTCTGGGGTGGATAAATAAGGATTTGCAAATCTGGAGCAGGCGTCTGCTTGTTAATCTTAATATGATTGAGGGCCTGTTATAATGTGTCATTTTGTCCTTTTTACAGCTCTTACAGATTGACTTGTTAACCCAGTCCAGGTTTGAACTAGGTGTAGACTGGATGGAGAACAAGCTGTGAAATCCCCCTTTACTGTCAGGTGTTGACACAGAAATAACTGATGCATAACAGGTCCCAAGCTCAAAGAGTTGAAGAAGAAACTGCTCTAAAGTGAGTCAGACACTGTCAGACATGTAACCTACATGTTTTCATGAACATTATGTCCATGTTTTCCACTACTCAGAGTCGAGGTGGAAGGAACGACAACCTCAAGATGACCACAGACCCGCCAGCCCAAAACCTGGGCACCAGGATAATGACGTTCAGCCCCTCCAAAGAGGAGTTCAAGGACTTTAGCCGGTACATTGCCTACATGGAGTCACAGGGAGCACACAGAGCTGGAATGGCAAAAGTGAGTAGGGTCTGTCGTACTGACTAATTATTTCTCCTTAAATGAATAATGTGTATTACAGCTTATACTGTATGTAGCTGGAGTAATGCTGTTTAATAATAAAATAGGGCGTCATTATTAGCCATGCTGCTTGGCTCAGTAGTCAGTAGTTCATAGTAATTAGCCAGGCACATTACCTGAACCACAGAAAGAGAGTAGCAGACACTTGTTTGGAATCTTAGTGTTAATGTATTTATTATTTTATTTTATTTATTGTTTATTTGTAAAGGGACAAGTATGTAGCATAAACAAATGCCACACAAGCATTTATAGCCTAAGATAATTTGCAGTTCTTGTCCCTAGATCAGCCTTTTAAAATACTGCAAACTCAACAAATACACCGTGTGATTTTAGCACTTCCTGTGGCTGCTTCACAGTAAAGCCTTCCAAAGTAGATCATTTCTCATGTCTTTTACTGTTAAATAACAGCACACATTGTTAAGGTTGCTGGGGTGGTTGCACGGGTTTTAACTGAATGAATCCACAATGTGTCAGTGTATCAGTGGGATTACTCGTACTCTAATAGATCACATAATGTACATCTCTACGGTGCTAATTCCATTATTTAATCCAGCAGTTCATTCTAATTGCATTTACTTTGCCATTTTTTCTATCGCTGTTAAGCTATTGTCAGAGGAACTCAGCACTCCTTGCAGGTCTTTCACATTTAAAGCCTACCAGGAAATGGACAATTACAGTACCTGTTGTCTTAAAATATTTAGGATAATGTTCAAGTACTCACCACTCTCAGCTTCTCTTCTCGAAGAAAATAGCTGTTTTCACTCTGTCTGTCCTGTTCTTCTGTTGCAGGTTATTCCACCTAAAGGCTGGAAACCCAGACGAACATACGATGACATCGATGACCTGGTTATTCCTGCTCCCATTCAGCAAGTGGTGACGGGCCAGTCAGGACTGTTCACACAGTACAACATCCAGAAGAAGCCGATGACCGTCCACGAGTTCCGCAGAACCTCCAACATGGACAAGTCAGTTTACTAACTGCAATGTTTCTCACACAATGACTGAAGGATTAGAAAGTAGACAACCTACTACTGTGATTTAAATAAGCCTCTCACCTTGAGTACTAAACGAGCTAATTCCTTGGACTTAAAATGGTTTTTCACTCAATATCTCAAAACATTTCTCCCTGTAGGTTTTGCAACCCCCGATACGCAGATTTTGACGAGCTGGAGAGGAAGGTTTGGAAGAACCTGACCTTCAACCCACCTCTTTATGGGGCTGATGTCAGTGGAACGCTGTATGACCCAGTGAGTGGTAATGGGTTGCATAGATCCACCAACTGGAGCTTCTGTCAGTTCATTGTGTTACAACACACCCTTCAGCTTAATGCTCACAACCATCTCTGTGACTTCCAACCTCTTCTGAATCTCATCTTTACAGGATGTGACTGAATGGAACATCGGCCGTCTCAACACCATTCTGGACACTGTGGAGAACGAGAGCGGGATCAAGATCAAAGGAGTCAACACACCGTACCTCTATTTTGGCATGTGGAAGAGTGCCTTTGCGTGGCACACAGAGGACATGGATCTGTACAGCATCAACTACCTGCACTTTGGAGAGCCAAAGTCCTGGTACAGACACACCCTCACACTGCTGGACAGACACACGTCACACATTGTTTCTGCTGTTCAGCTTCTCACTGCTGCAACATCTGTTTTAATAACCTAAATGTCAGATTTCAAAAAAACGTATGTGTCTGTATGCAGACATACAGCTGCGTGCAGATGCAACAATGTGAATGAAAAACATCTCACAAGATCACTGATTGTGAGATAATGAGATACATTCTTCTATTCCTCTTTAATAACAGGATTTCAGTGCTTTACAGACAATTTACCCAAAATACCCTGGAAAGTGATGAAGATAAATCTGCAATGATTAGTCCCTTAATTGAAATGTTATTAATATGTTTATAGTCATTCACGCACACTAAACATTATTTTGGAACATTAACTTATTTTTTTCCTTTCTTTTGTCATTAATAATTGCAGTTCTGAAATTAATAATCCTCAACTATTTTGATAATCGATCATTATCAACCAATCATTTTCCCAGCGTAAATTGTAGAAATGTGAACATTGTATTAGTATTAGACTGTTGGTTCCCCTTAAACTCATTTGTCACTATTTTATGACATTTTATAGACTTAACGATTAATCAAAGAAATAATGGGCAGGTTAATCTATAATGACATTGTTAGTTACAGCCCTAGATATTTGTTGATGAATGAGTTGGTGGTTCCAGCCAATGACAATAACGCTGCAAAAAATGATGACCTTTGTGAAGATGGGAATGTTCAACTGTATTTATGAGGAGTTCTTTTTCTCTGTAATTATTACTTACAATCTGTCACAGTCATCATTGTATTTGATATATTTGTGCTTCTGTTGCTCTTCAGGTATGTTGTTCCACCGGAGCACGGGAAAAGACTGGAACGACTAGCCAAGGGTACGTCATGGGTTCTTGCGGAACTTTAGTTACAACAGCCACTCAGCACATTTGTCTCTTCATCTTCATCTTGACAATGAAGATGCGACAAGTCACTTCATTCCTCACTCATCATGCTCAGTGGTTTGAAAGAGGAAGTCAAAACTGCTTTCAGTCACCTTCTAGGCTGTATGGAAAGTACCTCCGAAACAGCAGTTATGTTTAGATGTCCTCTTTAACACAACACACTGTTGGTTGTTGTTGTTGATGTTGATTATTTCCTGTATTTCCAGGTTTTTTTCCAGGGAACGCTCAGAGCTGTGAAGCCTTCCTTCGCCACAAGATGACTTTAATTTCACCCTCGATCCTGAAAAAATATGGCATACCGTTTGAGAAGGTGACCTTTCATTTACCTTGTGTTGTGCTCATGACATTATGGAGAAATACAGTAACGTCTCTTCTGTGGGTTTAACAATTTGATTGATTATTATTAAGGTGACACACACCAGGCGAAAACATCTTTTTTCAATTTTGAGATTTTTGGCTATTTTGCTTCCATATCAACCAAAATACACATTTGAGGGTTTATTTGACTACACAAAACTTAGTATTATATAATGCCTCATTTGCATTCATATGCTCATTAGTTCATTAGTTTATGCTATTAGCCTGTGGTGTTTTGCAAAATGTACTCTGAGCCAGAAATCTCCACTCCGGCAGCACTTACGTACATTATTCCTGTCTGTATTCTGAAGGTTTTTACAGAAAGCTTTATTCATATATCATTCATAGCCTCATTAAAGCACATATTCCTAAAAGAAAATAGATTTTTTTTTATGGCTGTTGACAGTATCAGAATCAGAAATATTTTATTGATCATGGGGGAAATTGGTTAGAAGTAGACAAGCAGGAGCCACTGCAACATGCTGCATGCGCACTATGACTCGAGATGTCTATAATTCCCTCTGTTAAAACTTCTGACTCTAATATGTCAACAAAATCAGACAAGAATTCTGAATTTTGGCTTTATCTACTGTTCAGATTTCTGTTCTGGGAATAGCACAATTTAATTAGATAATGCCTCATTTGCCTATTTGAACTTAAAATCCCTGAAAAACTTGTAATACACAAAAAATAATAATGGTCTAAATGCAGTGGGGAAATTTCATGGTGATATCTATTAGTTAAAATGTTTCCCTATTCACCTGTAGTGTCTCTTAAATAATGATGAGATGAAAAAGTAGTGGAAAGTTTCAGCTCTTGTAATTATGTTGCTCTTATATCCAGGTCACCCAGGAGGCTGGGCAGTTCATTGTGACGTTCCCATTTGGCTATCACGCTGGCTTCAACCACGGATTCAACTGTGCTGAGTCGACCAACTTTGCCACCCAGCGATGGATTGATTACGGCAAACAGGCCACACTGGTACACAGAAACATAATTTAAACAGCTGTGAATGTTAATCCAGGGGTTTTGGTAACACACAAGACTTACTCTCCCACCTGTAGTCTTTTTTTGTTGTTTTAGTTGTGATCCACTTTATGTTTACACTGACTTATTTACCATTCCTAATAAGCAGTTGGATTTAATTGTAGATCTTTTGAATTATTGCCAAATTCACATATCTGTCATCATCAAATCTTGTATCATCGTCAGTAGCTTCACTGTCTGAGTCTGACTGGAAGCAAACTGAGACCCTCCTTTTAAAATGGCCTTGGTCCTGTTGTTGTACGCACAAGAACTTGATTTGTACACCAAACTAAATGAACATTGCATTGTTTTGTACTGCTTTGAGTAGCAGAGTCCAAACCAAACTAAAAGTGTTGATCTTTGTATTCCTCCCAGTGTTCGTGCCGTCAGGACATGGTGAAGATTTCCATGGATGTGTTTGTACGCAAGTTTCAGCCTGATCGTTACAAGCTGTGGAAAGCAGGGAAAGACAACGCTCCCATCGACCACTCCAAACCCACTCCGGAGGCTGCTGAGTTCCTGAAAGGAGACAAGACTGAGCCTGTGAAGAGTCCCAGTGAAGCTGGATCTGAGGAGCCCACTACACCAGTCCAGGAGGACAAAAGGTCTGGATTTACACTAACACTTCTCTTACACTGTCATTCACTGGTTCCTCCACTGTAGATGCGACTTGTAGGCCATTGACAATCCATTTATTGTTATGAAATACAAAATACATGAAGTTTTACTCAAATCGTTCACATTACGTAGTCATAAATTACATAAACACAAGTCAGTTATTTTAGTCAAAAAATGAATGAAATGCCTTCACTCCAGAGGTGTAAATTAGGAATCACTTTGCTGATTCAAACTGTTTTATGGAGTTCAGTTTAATGATTCGTGGTCATTGACTATGTTATGTGTTCACCTTTTTCCTAAGCTAAGCAATCACACCTCTGTTCAGAATGTACAAAAGTAAGTGAACGCATCAGTGTTCAGACCATGGCAACAATCAGTTCTGATTCTGAATGTCTTCAGTTCAGTAGGACGTTCACAGTAGGACAGTAGGAAAACAACGTGTTTTTTACACAGTAAAAAGGAGAAAGTACGGTGTTTGACATAAAAACACAATGACACTTCTTAACATACTTAAAAACACATTGAGAAAACAGGAAAAACAAGTGGATTTTTAGCCTGGATGTAAAACATTCAGCGGTAGAAGCTGATGTAGAAGGAGGAAGGCTCAGCTACAGAAAAAGCACATTTACACCTTAAACAACATATGACCTCAGTGTGCTAGGAGGAGTTGGGCATGTGATCGTTCTGACATATGCTAGAGTAGAGTAGTTGCCTTCAGTTCAGTACTAAACTAGCCTATACTCTACAAGCACTAATAAGATTAACAGCTCAGCAGCCAACTATTTGTGACTGTTATGACATTATGATTGTTTCTGTAGCTTTTGCAGTCTTTTAATAACCTATAAATGAACCACAGTGACAATGGTGATTCAGGAAAGTCAGTTCACTTCAAACATTCTCTGTTTCACTCAGAATTGTTGCCTTGCTGTCACTAGTTTAATGTCAAACAGTGTTTCCCTTTGAGTCCTGTTGGACATGTTTTTACTGATGTCTCTCATGCATCAGTCCAAAGCCTCAGACTGGAACAAAGCGTCAGCTTGAAGCTATTAAAGCCTCCGAAGACATCAAACCTGAGCTTACCATGAAGGAGACTGAGGAGGTGGAGCCAAAGAAAGCCAAGCTGTCACGTAAGGAGCCTCCGACTAAAGTCCCCATCAAGCCAGATAAAGGTACAGCACAGTTTGTAGTTTTTACCAGCTTTTGAGATTTGTGTTAACCAAAAAAATAAGTTTACTCTAAGAGTAGAAACTAATCTTCAAACCCTAAGAAAAGGTTTTTTGAATAACAGTATGTTTATAATCATAGCTTTTAGAGCTGTGTATTTGAAAGATTCTGGTGATGCAATACGTATCACAATACAGGGGTTACAATTCTACACATTGTGATACTGTAAGCAAGGTGATTTGTGTGCCGGGCTGGCAAGCTGCTGCCCAGCCTGAGGCTCCCTCGCTGCCGCCCGCCTCCTCGGAGCCAGGGGTCCGCCGCCTCACTCTCAAATGGCCTCCGGTAGGACCGATGTCTGCAGCCGACACCGCCGTTCTTCTCTTCTTTTTGAAGGGCTCGTCTGTTTTGAAGTTTCTTGGTGCTGGCTTTTGACTGGGGACTTAGTCTGCACTTGGTGGTCCTCTCTCCTTCTTAGGCTCCAGCTTGATTTTACATGTGGTCTGAAAGCCAATAACAGCAAATGGATAATACATTAATTGGCAACTTTTGAACTGAAGTGTGTTACATAATAGAGCTGCAACAATTGAATGACAAACGGCTTTAAATGATCGACTATTATAGAAATAGAACAGAATCAACTTGTAGTGCACATTAACCATATATATCATATCAATCCACAGTGCACTCCTAAGTAAGAGAAGCAGTGGGCAGCCACTGTACCAGCCACCCAGATCTAAGCAGTGTCGTGGTTTAAGGAGAACTTGACAGGAGAACTACCTAACCATTTTTTCTGATGGGAGGGGGAACCCACGCAAACATGAGGAGAATTGTGGAACCTCACACACAGGAAAGACCACTGACCCCTGTGACTGCTGTAATTTAATCACCAAACTATTTGTGATTAATTGATCAATTCTTGAGTCATTTTTAATGGTCCAAATTTTTGGAGGAAGTAACCTTGGGTTTTTGGGAAACATTTAAATAGTTTTCTGACATTTTACGGACCTAAACCATTGATTATCGAGAATAAAAAAAAACAAACAAAAAAAAACAAAAACAAACAGATTTCATCAATAATAAAATAATTGTTAGTTGCAGCCTATGTATATTGTTTGTTTCTAGACAAAAATTGCACACAAATGTCATAATATCTCTTTTATGTCCCTCTACACTACCATACCAGGCTGGGCACAACATTATTTGTTATCGTTACAAGTAATCTCAAGTTCCGCAGATTGGAGAGATTTTTGACAATTTAAATAACACAGTAGTTCTTTTTTCAAAACCTTGTCCTTTGGTCCACTGTAGAATTACTTATGTTCTTCCTCCAGAAGATATAACACCAAAAATACTTTGGTGTTATACAAATTATATTATTTCAAGAAAAAAAAAAAAAAAAAAAAAAAAAAAAAAAAAAAAAAAGGTAATCAGGTCAAAAAGGGGCAAAGAAAACCAAATGCAAGATCCAACTGCATTTGGTTGCAATAAAATTCTCCTGCATGTTCATTAAAAGGAAAAGGCAAT